TTTGTTTTTAAATCGTTGTTTTGATTTCAGATGTTTTTATTAAAACTTGTTATACCTAACTGTGTGTCGCGGAGAATCTAACGGGTTACCGGGGCTCCGGCTCGACGTGCAGGAGAAGGAACGGGGTGGTTTTTAGTCAGTAAGAGTCTGACACTTCCTCCCGCCTCACCCAGGCGAGAGAAGACATTCGATGAATTTCCCCCCTTAAAAAAATACCTAACTGTGTGAAAGTTGGTTTTAAAATAATATATTTTATATCAGCACAATTCGAGTTTATTCGTTGACCGTAAAAACAGTATTTCGTATTTTTAATCCAATGAATTTAATACTCAGGCAGAATAACTACTGTATGATTGTCATACATTTTTAATATTGTTTCGACTGTGCCATGAAAACTCACTGAAAAGTGGGAAAAGCATTGAATAAGTTCTGGTTTTTGATAAAGTAAAATATTACGATATCTTTTAAACACACAAGTCAGTTATAATATAAAAAGCCATTTTAATCCTTACTAATACTAATACTAATACTAATATACTAATATACTAATACTAATATACTAATAATATTATAAATCGGAAAGTGAGTTTGTTTGTTTGTTCCACTATCACGCCGTAACTACTAAACCGATTGCTTTGAATTTTTGCAGACATAAAGTTAAAAGTCCGGATTAAATAATAGGGTACTTTTTAACCTTTTTAAATTTGATATTCCCGAGGGAAAACAAAAGTATTGGTATAGATGGCGCTGTGTGTATTGGTATATGTCACATAGGCTACTTTTTATCCTTTTGTGACGCGAGCGAAGCCGCGGGTAAAAGCTAGTAAAAAATAAAAGAAATAGGACTGGTCTCAAAAACTACGAAGTCTGTGATGTGATTGCAATTGTAGTCGTCGACTGTAGATCATAGATTCTTCGAAAACACAATTAAATATAAACCCAACTATCAGAACATAACATCATATTATTATATAATAAACAATTCAACGATCTAAAGTATATAATAATAAATTCAGGACGTGGCTGCTTCTAATCTTATTTGAAATCGTCAAGGTATGTATAATCTCACTGAATTTGACACTATTAAATTAAGCTTACCGGGAGCGTCAACCTACCTATAATGAAAATTGATTCATTTATTATTTACAATAAGGTTGAGTTTATAGGATGAACTTACATCATACCGATACAATATAATGGGTACCAGGCCAGACCAATCTAAAATAACATAACATCGCGCCTTTTTATCCCTAAAGTGGTAGGCAGAGGTAAACAATACAGCATTTAATGCCACTGTACAATGTAACACCCACTTTTCACTATTTATGTTATGAGTCTCATGTAATAGGCCTGTTGAGCCTGTTGCCATAAACTGGGCACATTTCCAGAATCTGTGCTGCTAAAGATTTTTATTTTAAAAAACCCAGTATTATATTGCCCGACCCGGTAATCGAATCCGAGACCCTTTGCCCGGCAGTCGCACTTGCGACTACTCGGCCAACGAGGCAGTCTAAAACTGGTATTATAATGATATTTACGTACTTTACACTATTATGACGTTATTCCATCTTCATCATCTTCGTCATGTCAGCTAGAAGATGTTCATTGCTGTCGATCAAGGTGCTAAGTCTTTCACAAGTATAATGACGAAATTCACCTACAAACATTTTATATCTAGTCATTATTACTATTCCCATATATTTATTTTAAATAAATACTACGTACAAAAAAAATACTTTAAAATATAAAAATAAGAGCCGACCAGTAGGGGGACCATGGTCCAAGCTACCGGTGGTTAGGGCTCCAGAGACAGAAACCTCCTCACGATGCGCGCCGTTTCAAGGATAACTGCCTTCTGTATCAAGCCTTAGTCATTATTATTATTATGACTTGTGATTGAAATACTGAGATATTTTGTTTTTATAACAGCAACATGATACACGTGGGTTCCATACTTTTTATAGAACATCAAGTGTAGGTAGCCTTCAGACATCAGTTTGATAAAAAACGAAAATCTTGTTGTCAACTTGAGACCAAACAGGTGCCTGGTCTCAAATTCCTTCCCACCTTCTGTAAGTGACTTCTGTAAGCTTTATGCTAAGCCAAAGCCTAAGTATTGGGGTCATACAATTTTAAAACGTTACGAGGGCCTCTTTGCATAATCTATTTATTTATTCTTAGAATACAAGATCCGTGTTGAGAAAAAGTACGACGTCTTGAACATCTAAAAGAAATAGTAGGTGTACCTTTAAAGATTTGTTTTTCTGGTGTATAAGTACCTAGGAGTAGTTTAATATTACATCTAGTTAGGTACTATATTCATTGGGCATTAACCTGTAAAGATAAATGTAAGTGGAAATAAATAAATAAAAAAATATTAAAGGTGAAAATCTAAATCAGGTTATAACATATTGCATATAAATACATAAATTGAACTCCGCATTTGAAAACGAATGCCCAAGCATTCCTTTAAATCTCCATGGCAAAATTACTACACATTAAATTTATATTGGCTCCTTATTATTTTATTGTCATTTTCAACTAGATATTGAAATTAAGTTCCATCGGAATTTTCTCGTTCTAGGTCAATGGCCTCTCTACTGATTATTTTTCTTAAACCCATGGCGCCGTTCTCAACAACTTTATTAGCTCTGGCATTATTGTCTCAATATCGAGGACAGGACTTGTTTTTCAATTACTAGAAGCAACTGGGGGCTCGTCAAAGATTATGACTTAATTTAATTTTGAAATAACAAGTAGACATATCACATTTATTATTGTTACTGGTTTTTTCGTAATTGGATCCAAGATAAAAATTATTTTAAATCTCTGAGACGCATCTTCAATATTTTAGTATTTTTGTTGAAAATCGTAGCTTATGGAAGATACAGTAACTGGATTGATATACATGGTGTATATCCCAAAAAATATGTCTTATGTACCTTGTTTGTTGTTTTAAGGCAAATATTTTTTATATTTATTTATTTTGGTTAATCAACATTTGTTTACACAACATACATTACTGATTAAATATAAATAACTAAAAAAACCATTTACAAGTGCAACAATTAATTATAGGTTAACACCACATGCAAAAAGAAACGGTAAATAAATCTATTTCACTTATTAAAAGACACCTTGATGGGTTCATTGAAAAGTAATTGAGTCGAGCCCAAAGAACAGAAGCGACAATTAATGAACGACGAATTAAAAAGAAAATGTAAAACACACAACGGAATAGCTGATGACTACCAGTAATTTAACTACAATTAATGTTTCCCGCGTTTTGTTACAGGCGCCATCTTGGATTCAAAAAGAGCGCGAAGCGTTGCAAAATGTACGAATAATTGCATTACTTTTACATAGAAATTTTTATGGTCGAAATGGGGCACAATGCGCTTAAAACTCTATTCTTTCGAGATACAAAGAATTGTTTATTTAGATTTTTGCACTAAAGATGCAGATTAAATAAAGTGTGAAGGGTGCATTTAAATAACAATATTTTCAGTACCTACACCAATAATAAAAAAAACTTTTAAACGTATATTTCTTTTATCGCTTCATAATTTAATTAGTCACGGAGTGATTTATTGGATAATGTTATTTTAAAAAATTAAATTTGTTAGGAAGCTAGTGAATATTATTTATGAAATTAGTATTGGCTGCTCGGGTGCCACTAGATTTTTCCGGCACCGTTCGTGATTTTGCTCATCTTCCCCGGTGTTGTCACAAACCTTGTCCAAGCAAAAACGTAATTTAATCCAATTTAATCAAAATTATATTTCTGCTTATTTTGGTGTTTTAATGTAATATAGGGCAAGACTAGTGGTAAGTTACACTAAGCACAATTCCAGACTCTGTGCAACTACTGAAACTCTCAGTAAAATATTGCTAATTGGGTATCGAACACAAGACCCTTTGCATGGCAGTTTGTGTAAGCGACTAGTTTACTACTAAGATAGGTTCAGTCAAAGAATCCCTAAATAAATGCTATGGCTTTAAAAGGATTTCTTGGGTCCGGTCAGCTTTATTAAAACGTTGTCATGGTGACGAGCCGGACTAGATTATATTGTTATTGTGATGGACTCACATGTACAGAGCTCTTAATGAATGAGTCAATCGGTTTATATTTATAAGTAGTTATAACCGAGTTCTGCCTACAAACTAGATCGTTCTGTACCACATGATAGTGACCTTCGTAAATGTAGATATCAGCCATCACTCCCGTGATACCATCTATGTCATCTTTATAACAAGCTATTAATATTCAAGCGTTACCATTTCCCGGTCACAGAAACCCTGGCGATAACGCTATTTTTAGAAGTTGCCACTAATAATTACTATGTCGTAATCTTACGTCAACTGCATTCACGCGTCATTGATTTTGCACGGCATTTAACTTAATTCGCTTCTTATCAGAATTTAATATAACGGTATTTAATAATGATAGTGAATAACCAATAAAACAAACATGTTCAGTTCCGGCTACGAAAATAGTGATATCGGGCTACATATTAAAAATGTAGGTACAACTCTAAATTTTACGATAATTTAAAAGAAATAATTTTGTAAACAAAAAACACAACAAAAAATTAACGTTCTGAAGTTTTGCATGAACATTATGACGTTATCTGTCTGGTCGGTCGCACACCAACGAACGATAAAGCAAATAGCAATATCTGAAGCTATGTAGGCAACACAGGCACGGCAGAGGCGCCCCGCCGCGGACGACTGCACGCAGTACATTGACAGCTGAAACCGTCAACAAAACGAGAATAATATTGTCTTGTTCTGCAATACGTTCAGCTAACCATTCACGCTTACGACGAAACGCGGACAACACGTGGCCGAGTAATATTAGAGCGACCGCGGCATGCTACACACCGCACGCTCGCCCCAGTCCGGCAGCGCACCACGCACCGCTCAGTGTCCTCCCATGCGTGCTCCACTCTGTCACAGAGCATAAATGTTAGTTCCGAGAGTGCACCACAACACCGACAATGGCCAACCGCAAGTGGAGGGAATATGTGACGGCTCTCAGTGGTTCGTAAATTTATTTTTATTTTTCATGTGTTCAGTGCCAGTGTTTTCAAATAGTTTTATTTATATTTACGTTCATGGTGCGCGTACGATACGATCGTAGCCGGCAACACTACGGGTTTTACACACTGTGCACACTCACACACATAATGTCATTAATTATTATCTTTTCGCTGAAGTTTCTGTGATAAAGTTTTGTAATTAGTGTAATGTTGATATGAACCACAATTAACTTATACCCACACTGTAAGTGAACTGTAGTTCGTAACGAATGTCACTTGAGTTCAAAAAAATCCTAATCAGTATTTTATTCCAATAAGCCGGCGAATTTCGTTTACTGACGTTTTCGTTCACATGTTAATCTAGTGGATGAAAATTATTATCATTAAAATACCAGAGACTTACGCTAGCGTAAATAATTCCTTGATAATGAATCGTTAATCTTGATATTTAATCTTTTTGTTACCATTGTAGCAATAATAAACGGAAGCGGTGACGGTTAGTAACCATACGATGTAGTGGTTCTTAATTATCGCGCTGTCATAACTAAAGTACACGAATAATGTCCATTGTTGACTTGTACATAGTTACGTATGTACAATATACCTACACACTGTAATTTCGAGTTACATGAAGTTGTACTAAGTACACGGAAACAAAGTTACATAGTGTTTATGTCATAAATTAACATGTAATACATATGTATGGCCACTTGTCATCATTGCCATATTTTTTTCGTTGAGCGAAACCAAATGATAATAAGCAAAAAGCTACCTAATTGCCTGGTGACGCAAGTAGATGATTAAAATTCATCAAGTGAATATCGGTGGTTTAATGCGGTTGTCTAGGTTAGTACTAAAACTCCTTAGAGGCCATTCGTCGTAAGTACTCAAGGGGGCAAGTTAAGCTTGTTTAAGCCTCCGGTCTCGCTCGACTAAAATATCGACTGTGGTTACGGGAGTTTCAAACTCAGAATCTTTAGACCAATACATTTTGAGATGCCGAATGTTGTGCAATCTTAGCCATAATTAGATTCAGTTGTCAGAGTAGCGTACAATGACTGGCAATATTTACAAGTTCAAGTAACAGTTACTGAATTTCAATTTGTTGCATCACTCGCCTTGGTTGTTTTTATAAGATTTCTAAAATTAAAAAAACAGACGCTGAAAAACTTCTTCCAAATTTAAACTTAAATATTTCGGTTACCATTTTATAGTCGATAGTTTTTCTTCTATTCATTCATTAGTGTCATGAAACAGGTAACACACCTACCTTACACACGAAAACGAATCCAAATTTTCTCATTCCAATATAAATGCCAGATTGATTCGTATTCAACTACCTCACTAACGACCTCGAAATATTGCAATGTTCCGTGTCATCACTTCATAATTTCTTTAAACTTATTTTTTCATAGAATTGCGGAATATTCACTAAATAGTCGGGAAATGAATATAAAGTCTAATTTCATTAGCTAATGAAAGTTAGTCATGATAATGAATCCACGTGCCTTCCAGCTCGTTTTTTTAACAACCGGCACACCTCTATTGATTAAGTAATTGGATAATTTACGCTATTTATTTACATAGGTTTTTACGACAGGACAAGATGGCTTATTTTAGATTATATCTACATCTGATAAATCTATCTTTATAAATCTAGCTAGCTTTTCAGGTGCATTTTATTTTGATACTGTATGAAAATCAATGATATTTGGTCTATCCTACTTTTACAGAAGACATCTCGACGAATGTTGAATGTTGTACGAATATTTTCAAAGTCCAAATGAGACATGTTACAACAGGTTTGCAGCCTGTCTGAATCAAAACGTGAACTGTGTGCGTCAATCCTTAGATATATCTGATTACACCACCGAAATGATAACAAAAATCTAAGATCCGTAACTAAAAAGAATCCAATAGATAAAATCGGATATCCGATAAACCAATTTCATAATATTCAGTACCTACCTGAATATACGTACCTCTATATAGAGGTAGGTACGTTCAAAGATCATCTCTAGTTTGGAATTTTATTTTACTTCAACACCATACCAGACGTGAACTGTGACATCACCGCCGTTACAGTACGTTCGAAAGAAATGACTACTATTTCGTTCTGTACTACTTTTTCCGAATCCAATTTACATGAAAGTGGGAATTTAAAGCAATACAGCTGTTGTCTACACTAAACTGTTTTTTAAGAAGTCGGTTAAAAATACAATTATAAGAAGTTGCCTGGTGACCTATCTGGATATTGCCAATTTTGGACGAAAAATTAGGACCTTCTGTTTCAAGCAATTTCACGCGGTCCTTCAACAGTTTTTTATTGGCAGTCAAAGTCTTAAGGTGCCCGATTTTTGTTAGTATTCTAATCCTTTATTAATAAACTATTGGGTACTACAAAACCAATCAACCAGACCAATCCAGAATCGAACCAGTAGGTACACTATAAATCTACCTCTCCATAAAATAAGCCCTTCAGGGAAATAAAACAGTGAATTTTCGCTCGTATATCAAAAGTTTATTAAACATACCTACATGGTCTGCATTTCTCGGCGGTTTTTTTTGTCTAGACATTAATAAGATCTAGAATTCTATCTATCTAGACTAAACTCCAGCTGTCTGATGAGTTTTATTAACAGATGACTCAGTTCGTTTAGATTCCATTATGAACGAAACAACGTCTAATTCTTTTTCTTTGTCGTGCATTAATATAATGTGCCTATTAGTGTTTTTTCTTAACTGAACTATTATGGAGCTACTACAAAGTTACGCAATGTTTTATAATAATTTGTTTGTTAAAATTTCTCACAAACTTTGTTGAAATTTAAATCATGCTGTATAAATTTTAAACTAAAATTTTGTAGGTAGGTACTATGTAATGAGGGATAGCAAATTGTAGGCTCTCTGAAGTAAAGTTTTACTACAACCTTCGTAGTTTAAATGATATGCCTAAATATAACTTATTAGAATTACAAAATCTAGGTGCTAGTGAAACTCTAAAAATGTGTTTATAAAATCGGAATACGACATAATTCTTATTTCCAGAAATACTTGTTTGGGTTTCAGTTACCTTCTCAAACACGTACATGAAATGCGAAAAGACTCATGTACCTATGTTATGCCATTAACTGTAGAATGGAAAGAATGGAAGCGTCATGAAGAAAATTCGGAATTGTAACAAAGCTTGGATAAATCTCCTCCATTTTCTTTAAGTTACCAATAACTCGTTCTTAAGCTTCGTCTTTCCAATTTGGAACCAAACAGCTGTAGCAATTTACTACATTTCTATGAATCGATTTTTCAAGAGAATGGGTAGTTTTAGGTGGTCTTAGGAATCTACTGGATTTATAGAATCACGTCTGCCTGTCTCACGATCACGTTCTGCGAAACGTCAAGCAAAAGACTTTTCGAGAGAATCAGTTACTGGTATATTTGCCGGTTTTTTTTTAATTTCGCAGTAAAATATAACGGTATATGGAATTGAACTTAGTAGGTGTGGCAACAGGTTTATTCCCTCTATTTATTACTTAAGACTGAAGACGACCCCTTCGGTGATTTAAAAATTGTGACGTTATGTTTCATCGGTCTTTTTATTCCTCTACGGAACCTTCTCAAGAACATTTACATATTTAATAATAATTTTGAATAAGTCCTTATATCCGACCTTTGTTTCGCAACAAATATAATAAATTAATCCAGTCTGTCGGTAAGTGAAATTCAATAACTGATTTCATCATAACCTCATAACCGGTCTTCCAATATGTGGGATTATCTCTTATCATCACTGATATAGTTGAGATAATAACAATACGTTACTTTATGGAAATTCTATACTAATACGAAGTATGATATCAGTCGGATTGTAGATCATCGTTTTTTGGAATAGAGAGTAAACAATGAGACAGGTCGCTTCAAATCACCTGATGGTAATTATCAGCATCGCCGGTTTTTTAAGGGGCCAAATCATCGAATGACTTCTCCCTCCCAGGTGAGCATCGTCCATGGGCTCCAAAACACTAACATACTATATACTGTTCCAGATTCTCCTATGCCGAAAAAAGAAAATTCTAACTACAATTCATTCTAATATTCTACACTTTTAAACAATTTTAGTAATCGTAACCAATCTTTCAGATAACATCTATAAACGTTTTTATAATTCACCGCAAAAGACGATAAACATCTCTGGACTGTATTTTAACAATCCTGCGCTAATTAAAAATACGTAGATAATTGTCGTAGAAGTTCCTGTTGTCTATCTAATTAAAAAGAGATTATATTTATTACCCAACTGTGTGAAAAAGAGGTTAATATAATTTACTTACATTTTGAGTTATTCTCTTGAATATCTTGATGAATGATATGAAGATTGAACAGAATCAATCACAAACCGATTGATTCTGTTTCTAAAATTCGTAGATTTAACTATTTTGTTCAGCCTGTACTTCTGATATGACCAAGTAGATAGTTTATTGTACTATAATAGGTTCTTCACCTGCTATAAGGGACTTTAAAAATTGGATAAAAGTAATTGTTACCTATTTCAAGGAATAGATAGTGTGTTGTAATGACCTGACTCAATGGAGAGCGATCTCAATATTTTTATTTACAAGTTACGTTAGAGTATCCCCTTGACATAATCTTGTATTTACTTTTCACGATAGCAACGATGAAGGGGACCCTGGCCTATTGAATTGTTAGCTGATAACCACTCATATTAAACCTGATAAAAACGTGGAGACTTTGTGGCACGTTCTTGAAGATCCTATTCATATTTACACATCATGTTTTTATCAAGGGGTTTTTTTTAGGGGGGAAAATCATCGAATGACTGCTCCCGCCTGGGTGAGGCGGGAGGAAGTGTCAGAGTCTTACTGACTAAAAACCACCCCGTTCCTTCTCCTGCCCGTCGAGCCGGAGCCCCGGTTACCCGTTAGGTTCTCCGCGACATGTTTTTATCAAGGGGTAGATTGTAGCAAAGTGCATATGAAAGCATAT